TTTAATACAATCCATATCCTCCAGGTGATTTTAAGATCTCTGTGTGCCCTTTGCCTTCCTCTGGGATGGGGGGGTTTGGCTGCAGTCAGAGCCACAGCCCCACAGTGCCCCCACGGCTCTGCCTTGTTCTGTACAACTGCCTTGTCCCTACAGCCCCCCACCAGCACTGGATCTGAGCCTCAGGGCTCTCCACACTGTTTTACCCTTTTTTTCCAGCCTCTCTCTTTTTGCAGGGCTGAATCCATACAATCCACAAACCTCCTAAGAGACTCTTCTCATAAAGGCCATGTCCCCATAAACCCCATAAACGTTGCTGCCTAAAAGGCTGCAGAGCAAAGAAGACTCCAGGCCCAAAAAGGTAGCGAGTCAGAGAAGCAGCAGAGATTTTCATGAGCCTCGAGGCTCCAGGAATACAAACCCACACCCATCCCTTCCAACGCAGGGGTTACAGTCTTTATAATGATTTCCACCCAATGCCCGTCCCGTCCCCGCTCCGGTTCTGCCCCGTTCTGCCCCAGGAACGCCCGTGGGGAATTGAGTCTGGGGGAGTTCGGAGCTTTGAGCGGCTGCAACTACAACTCCCGGCGTGCCCCGCGCGGCAAAGGGGGCGGGGCGGGGTCTCTGCCGGCGGGGCGCGCGCACAGCCCCGCGGTGGCTGCCGGGAAAGGGACGGCGGCGGCGGCAGGATCTGTTGAGCCCTGTTGAGACCTGGCTGGGGCTGTGGTGAGTCTGGGGATGCGCTCGGGGGCTGCGGGGAGCGCGGCTGTGGGCGGGAAGGCTGGAAGGCTCGGCAGAGTGGAGAGGAGGGGCTCGGGGGTTCCCGAGGAGGTTTTGAGGCTCATGAGGGGATCTCAGGGGGTCGCGGAGGGGATTTGGTGTCCTGAGGGCGCTCATAGGGGAGGGTGAAGGTGCCTGAAGGGGTTTAGGGGGTCCCTGAAAGGGCTGGGAGCCTCGGAAAGCTCTCAGGGGGGCCTGTTTAAACGCCATGGCTGCACTGCGCAGGCGCCGGCGGAGTTTTCATTAAAGAAACTTCAATTCCCAACAGGCCCCGCGTGGCGCCGCCATTGCCGCTCGTGCCACAGCGCCCCCTGCCGGCTTGGCGGACCGACCGCAGGGAAAGCGGTTCCTGATGCTCCCCCCGAACCCCAGAGACCCCCAAAACTCAGCACACAGAGACCCCACGGGAAGTGAGGCTCGGAGGACCCCAAAGCCTATCAGTGGTGTCTAGGGGGTCCCCCAGGCTCAGGGGAGGGGTCCTGGCAGTGCCACCCAAAATCTTTGCAGGGAGATGAACCATATCTGGGTTAGGGGATCCCAGTGCCCCCAGTATAGCCCAGTGACCTCCCAGTGGCTCTCAGTATGGCCCAGTAACCTCCCAGTGTCCCCCCATGTGTCCTGGTAATTCTCTAGTAATCACGCAGTTTTTCCCAGTACCCTCCCAGCATCCCTCAATAACCCCCCCAGTCCCTCCCAGTGCCCCCTGGTTCCCCCAAGTGTGTCCCACTACACCCCAGTAATCACCCAGTGCCCCCAAAGCCCCCCAAATGTCCCAACGTGTCCCCAGATGCCCTTGGGCTTTCTATGAGTGTGGGGAATGGGGGGTCTTCTGGGGGGAGATGGAAGGTTGGGGACATCAGGGATGGGGTTTGAGGACAGTGGAATGGGGGGTTTCAAGGGGGGAATTGCAGCCATGAGGAGGCCCTGGGGACATTGGAGACACCAGGGGTGTCTTGGGGTGCCAAGTGGGAAATTGAGGACAGCAGGAGGGTCTTGGGGGACACCAGGGGGGTCTCAGGACTCACCTGCTCATGGTGCTGCCCCTTCTCTCCCCACCAGGCCCCAATAAGGCCCCCCAAATGTCCCCTAACCCCCATTTTTCCTTTAATTCCCCCCCCCCCCAGATCCCTTTGACCCCTCAATGCTCCCAAGACCCCTTTTAACTGCCCCAAATGCACCCCAACACTCCCCAAATCCCAATCAAACCCCCCAAAGAGGGATCACGTGGCACTCTGGGACAGGAACACAGTGGGCTGTACTGGTGTCACTGGGCTGTACTGGGAGGGCACTGAGGGGGGCACTGGGCTGTACTGGGAGAGCCCCAATCCCCAAAGCCCCTCCCCTGGGCATCCGTGCCACGCTCTGGGAACCACGGCGGGGTTGGATCAAGGGGGGCACTTGATGATCTGGGAGGTTTTTTCCAAGCCGGCTGATTCTGGGATTCTCTGGGTGCCATTGCCAGGGCAGCACATGCTGGAGGCTCTGTCCACAGGGGATAGATGTGTCTGTGCAGACAGACAGACAAGGGCAGTCTGCAAAGATGTGGGGTTAGGAAAGCAGGAGAAGTTGTGGGGTGGTTGTGGAAGGAGAAAGAAGCCCCCAGGCCAGTGCAAGCAGGAACCCCTGGGCTTGCACATCATCTGCCCTCCCTGCAGGTTGCTGTCCTGGAGAGCAGGCCCCTCTGCAATCCCATCCCTGGGGCAC